TAATTGTAGGGATACCATATGGATTTTTAAATGAGTATTTAAAATAATCCCTTTGTTATATAATTTCAATATGGCCGCCATCGATCTCTTCCCTCCTTGTTTTCACATGCCATGCTTTACATTGAGAAATGAAGCCTAAATATCTAACCCCTAAATCTGAGCTGGTTTTAGTTCCTTGCTTCAACAAAAGTGCAGTACCTATGAATCCTGGGATTTCTCCGTAGAAGTTATTAGCCCCTGGGATATTGTGTAGAACCTTCTCAATTGATTCTGAGAACTGGCATCAACTGCAGCCATGGAAGTGAACCACCTTGGATATGCAGTCAAGTTTAATGACATCTGACACCAATTGTAATTCTTAAAAAAGAATTGTCACAGAACTATGACAGTTAATAATTTTTTTTAGCTACTAAATTTTGGTAAAGGTCAGTTTAGCAACAACTGATAATCAATATGTCCTCAAAGGCTTTATCATCAAGTGAAGAAGACACAAAACTATAGTCTAATGACCAAGTGTTGTGAAATTATACACAAGGAATTATAAAACATACTAAGAGACAACTTGAGAGAAGATACTAGGGACCTAGTAAAGGCTTTCTACATGAGTTGGTATTTAAAGTAAAACTTACAGGCAGAGTAAAAATTATCCAGGTAAAAGAAAACCAGAATAGCATTAAGGAAACTAAAAGTATTAAAGTTATGATGTATTCAAATTATTGGGAAACAATGGCTAAAAATGACACTGCATTGGCAGTTAGGGGCTGTATCATGAAAAGTTCTTCATAAGCCAGCTTAAGGGGTCCACAGTTGACAGTGTAAATGATAGGGAGCTACTCTAATCTGAGAGGCAGCATTGCCCAAATGGTCTTTAAATAAATCATCTATAAACTGCAATTGAAGAGAGAAGAAAAGAAAAATCGGGGTTAAGGCAAGGGAAGGAAACCATTGTAATAATTCAGAGGATAAAGAAGGAGACCCTCACTTAATTATAGATGGAGAAATGAGATGGATTTAGTGATATTTTAGAGAAAATTAAAATTAGATTTGTGATGTATTGAATTTAAGGTCAAAGAAGAAGAAGAAATCAGGTGTGACTTCCATGCTTTTTACTTCATAATAGGGAAAAAAAAATCATGTCCAAACTCATATAACATGGGAAAGATATTGATTTGAAATATTGAATTTGAAATATCTATACAAAATTAAGTAGTGACATCTAGCAAAATCTTGAATATGTAAATATCCTGCATGAATTAATTAAACTTGGAAAAGTCACTCAGTTGTTCACTTTTTCATTAAACGGTTATGAAGTGACTGTCTGTTGTCAGGCCCTATTCTAAATTCTTAAATTAGAATAGGACACCAAGCAGACAAAGACTGTTGGTAGAATATATTCCAATAAGGGAGAAAATAGAAAATTAATAGCATATAAACTGATAGTAAACAGATAAAAATGGCCTGTGAATTTAGACAAAGTAGGTAGGAGAGGTAGGGGATCTAGATGGAAATGTTTTAAAAGCTATCAGGGAAGAGAAGTTATTCTCAAGAAACAGTAAAAGAGCCAAAGGCAAAAAATAAAAGTGTGGCAGTACTCTGACAGGTCACGGACATTAGGAAATAAATTAATGGCAATTTTCATTTATATAATGAATGGTGAAAAATGCCTAAGGGATTATATTACCTGATGGATAATTCTTAATTTTATTTTAAAATAACAAAGTCTTTTAATGTTTGGTAAAAGATGAAACCAAAATAGTAACAGCATGCATTTTTTAACATAATGCAACATCTCTGAAATGCTGAGGCTCTGCAAAATATATGAAAGAAGTATATCATAAAATCTTTTACCAAAAGAAGATGAAAACATATAAAACAGTCAACTAACACTAGAATCCACTACATAATTGAAAACTTACATTTGTAATATTGGACATTTTTAATGCATTTTTTGTTGTAAGTGTCATGTATACACACAATTTCACAAATGTTTGTTTTTACACAATTTTGTGTATTAGCTAAAGTTTTTGTAATACTATGTAAGTTTCAGAGCAAAGGGAAATTTTGTGCCCATTGTAGCCACAAAAGGCTTACTAAACACAGAAATATCAATTTTCTTGTATGTGCATTGAAAAATTCAAGATTTCTAAACCTATGTCATATGCCACATTTTATAATTTGTTTTAAATTAGCTACAGTCATCAACCTGAAATGACAGGGAAAACAAAAGTAGATATACTATAAGTGCATCTTTCCCATAAAATGGAAACTCCTGACTAGCTAATGTAAGATAGGAGATACAAAGAGCTTCATGGATTTTCTTCCTTGCAAGGAGAAATGCTTTCTAGATTGCTGTGCACAGATACATTGTATAATATGACCTGCACTGTCATCAAATTGACTATAAGAAAACATAAGAGGGCTTGAATCCAAAACAAATGACTAAAAGGAATAGTTAGAATTATATTTAAGAAAAACAAAGCAATTTTATGACTTTGTTTTCAAAGGCAAAGGGAGTAGCAGGGTATTGCTGAATTTGTGTTGTTTAGTTTACAGCTTTTATTTTTCAGAGCCATGTTTAATACAGCTTTGATTTATTACTGAGCTTGATTGTTCTCTACAAATGACTCAGCTTTTCTTATGGCAAGTATGTTGTAAGTAAGCTAAGATCATCTGTTTTCATTTGTATCATAATTACAATACATTACTTACTTTAGATCTCTAAATATTATTGTCCTCTTCTATCACATGTTTCCTGGCAAAGTTTCATAAAATTTGTCTTCTTATTATCTCCTGTTACAAATGATATTCCAGTGCCATAAATGTAGAAAAATAGAGTTAAAGGGAAAAATGTGTGCCCACATAGAAGTCTTGTTGCAAATACCATGTATGAATGACATCAGAATATTTTATTTCCAGAAAAAGACATTATTACTATGGCAAGAATAAATACCTGTTGAATTTGAAGTGATAAAATTGATATGATTATGTTTTTGTATTACTATTTTGTATGTCTGTTAAATATAACTTTTTATACTCAAGTTTGTTGTACTGCTTAATAACTGAGAGGTATAAATGTAAGAAAACATGGTAGAAGATACTTTGGAAATAGAAAAAAAAAATCATGTGTAAATGCAAAGAAAATAAAAAAGTCATATTTAAAGAACAGGCAATAAAAATGCACATTTATATTATTCAGCTGCCACAATACTGTAAATTCATTTTCTAACTGTGCAGTCATGTGGAAGATTTTAAAGTGGTGCAAAATAAAACTTCCAAGAATTTTTTCAGTATGAATAACTGAAAAAATAGGGTGTTTTTTTGTACATAGATAAATTAAAAAAGATATAAAAAGATATATAAAGAAGAGATGTAAAAAGAGTAAATAAAACAGAGCTTCAAATATGCCCCAAGAAGTTATCCCAAAGATTGTCAGGCATAACTCTGCAATTTTACGTAAAACCTTCCATGAAAACTTTTTTTCTATTTCTGCTAGAAAATAATGGGAAATTCTAAATATGGTTATGGTTGCTAGGATTATCATTAAATGAATGGCACCATAAGTAATTCCACCTTCTTTCTATTGTTCTGCAATTTACTTATTATGCATAATCCACCTTTTCAAAAGGAATTTTCAGATTTAATGTACTTCATGTCTTCTATGGTTTGTAGAAAAAAAAAACAACTCAAGTAATCATTCACATATGAATAAATATTTGTAGTTTGGGGATAAACATAGATGTAATATGAGGTAAATCTTTGGGGATTCTAACTTCAAAAGTATTTCAATCCTAACTGTGTTTCTTGCTTTTTTAAAAATGGATTATTTTCTGTGAAAGGTTGGTGGAAATTTTGTATACTGTGTGAGCAATTTCTCTTCATTTTTATGTGAAAGTAAAGGGAAGCTCTGTCTATCTATAGTTCTGGTTTGCATATCTTAATTCTCAGGGAGCATCATTTCTAGAAAAATCAACAAAAGCTAAGAGAACTAAAGTTACATTGCATGCCAGTGGTGTTTCAGGGTGGTGGCCAATCCACACCACCTTTTGATCTTAGAACACCTTGGGGCTTCAAAGAAATGATGTTTGAATATAGTTAAATGATGCAAAGTGAGTGAGAGAGTTAGTTTGCCAATTGACATTTCTTACCTCTTGTGAGGCAGCTATTCTTTTTTTTTTTTTAAGCTCTAAAAAAAAAAAAAAAAAAAAACTTTTCAATCAATCGGTCATCACTGTTTTTTGTTTTTTTTTTCACATAAAATCATGTCAAGAGGGAATTTTTATTTCTAGGTCTGGATGTGTATGGGGGGGGGCATACTTCAGTTTGGGAAGACACTAATGGAATATGCCACTTCCATTAAAAGAAAAATAACCCCTTTTCATTTATTTCTGCATATGTGTTCAGATTTAAAAAGAAAGCCCTAATTCGATAAATACACAATATCTAACTAAAACTATTTCAATAAGGTATTCATAAATGGGATCATACACATCTATAAATGATGTAAACCACTACACACATCTATAATAGTTTTTAAAACGTGGGCTTTGACTAGAAAATATACATTGGCAGTCTGCACCGCAAACTTTTGTTTAAAGCACTAGATAGAATATCAAGTCCTCTGTCAATGACAACAGAAGGTTCCAGTGAACTATTTGTTTCATAACCCTGTCTCTAGCTGACTCTACTTCTCTGCAGCTCAAGTTGCCAGCAAATGCTGAACTGGAGCATGAGAGTCAATCTTTGTTTGGTTAACAAATTCCCCGAAAAATATCCCCCCCAAACCCCCAGGAGCAGTAGTGATGTCATATCCGTTGTCCAGGTCTCCACACCTCCCTCAGCAGTTACTCCCTTTATCTTTTTCTTGGGTCAAAACTTTTGAGGTGGGCTGGCTCTCTAGCAGCAGCGGGGGAGAGGATAGACTGGGACGCGCCAGTTGGAGGAGCTTCAGCACCTCGGCCAGCGCCCACTGCAGCCCAACCCACCCACTTGAGCTCCCCGACTCCCTGCTCTGAGAATGCCTGCGGAATGATCGCCCCCCAGGGCGGCTGCCGCTGCTGCCGCTACTGCTACCGCTGCTGCTGTTCCTGCTACTGCTGCTGCCACCGCCTCTGCCTCCACTCCGCTCTGACTGGCAGGCAGAAAGTGCAACTGACGGGGGAAAGGTCTCTGCAGTGAGTGGAGTGGCTACATAAAAGAGAGTAAAGAGGGGGCAAAAACCCAGATCAGAATGCAGGCGACGTCCAACCTTCTCAACCTCCTGCTGCTGTATTTGCTTGCTGGATTAGATCCTTCCAAGGTATGGACAATATTTTGACTCTTGTTTGAAATAAATGTGCAATATGTAATAAACCGACCAAAATGCAAATAAATATGCCAAAACCAGCACAGGAGACAGCTTTCAGCTACCTTGTGGTGTCTGGCGCATCCCCACTGCTTGGAAGATAACAAGGTGAACTACCGGAGGAATAGCTCCTCAAGGTAGAGTCCTGGTGTGAGTGGGGGGAGGGACCAGGAGCGAATATAATGTGTATGGGCAGCGGGCAATGCGGCTCTCGGGGGAATTTAGCTTATTCCGTGTCCAACTGCTTGATGTTCTCTCCTGAAGTCGGACGGGTAATGCAAAGGAGTTTGCAATTGAAACAATGCCATTTATAAACATTAGGAGATGGTGAACCGTTTCTTTGTTGAAAGCAGGGAAACGTTTTCCAGCTGATGCTGGTCAATAATACTCCCATCGCAGACGTGCTGCGGTTTGTGTCCAAAACATTTGGGATGCTGCTTGTAACACACACGGCAAAACGGCAGAGATATACTCTCTGCCATGGCTAAGAGGCGTCAGTGAAAGGGGCTTGTGTTTGCTTCTTTCTTTTCATTAAGGAAATTAGGAAACACTGAGGAAGTTCTGATTTATCAGTGAAACAGGAAGTGAGAACCTTATCAAACTAAGGAGGGCAATAAGAAGGATGAGTCCTCTCCTAGCTGTTGAACTCTGAAAATAATCCAGTACTGGCAATTAAAGTGATCACTAAGCTCCTTTGCTAGAAAGTCAGGAAAATATGGAAAAATATTTTCAGATATATGTGAGAAAAGTCAAGTGTGGTAATTTCAAGGCTTTCAGCATTCTAAGAAAATCATAATTATCTGGAATAAGTTGGAAGCATCTGGGGAAAAGAATGAGAGAGCCAATTATTTTTATTATTTTACTTATTTAACGGTGTAAAAGCAATTTGACAATCTTGGGGAAAGGATGCTATTTATAAAAACTATCTAAAGCTGTATTTTGGAATATTGTAAAGTTGTTTTTGAAGCTTTACATCATCTGTGTAGTGTTAGAGAAATTCTTTCCTTTCATAACCGAATAGAACTAAGATTTTGCCAACCAAAATATAATACTGTGGTCATTCTATTTCTAGGCCTAACATAGTATATAGTGAAAACTTAGTATCATGTCATATGTACTCACAATTATTTCTGTGCAGTTTCATATTTAGAGATATCTGATGAAAATAAATTCATTTTATTTCAAAGCTAAGGTTGTACTACACTTTCATTGTGAAAGCTTCACATGGAGCGTGATTTCTATCTTAATAATCTTAATGGCATGTTTTGTATACTAAGATGTGGTTCTAAGGCATTCTACTCGGATGTTATAGTGTTGATTCTGTTTTCATACTTTTAAATCATTTCTTTTTGCCTCTGCATGTGTAGTGGCATATTTCACTGCCAATCTTGAATGATTTTTGGTTAAAACTTTTGAACACATTCCATAATATAGCTTGCTTGAAACATTATTGATAATTTTTTAAAAAATCAAAATTAATTACTGAGTTCACACAGAAAAATCACTTAAAATAAATATTGTCATTCTTTGAAAATTCAAATCTGTGGAAGACTAACAGAGCAATGGAAGTGCATCAGAGGGAAAGAGGAAGGGAGGGGAGAGATTAGTAGTGGACACTGAAATCTGCATTTGTAAATGTGTCAATATTAATCCCACTATATTACTACAATGCACTAAAAATTTACCTATGTAGAACTTCATTAACAATTGAATGTATGATCTTATTTTTCTGATATCTTGAGTGCATACATATCTTCATTGCTTGCCTTCAATGCTTCCAAGATTATGTGTATGTATGTGTATATATATATATATATATATATATATATATATATATATATATACACACACACACATATAATCTTTTGTAAATATGGAGAATTTCCCAAATAGACAACCCATTCTTCATAAATATGATCTTTTTGAGTTTTGATGAGTTTATTTCTGCATATTAAGTGATATAAAACTTTCTAATTTGGTCAGACTGAGTGTGAATGTTTGGCACAACTGACCTAAGAAATCCAGGGAAGGAAAGTAATACATTAACTTTTCAAACTGTCCTTCTAAGCTTCTAGATACTTCAACATAGTATACAAAGAACAAAAGATGATATATTGTTGAATACCACATATCACATTATTGGGAATATTAAAATGTAAATAACAATATTTAATTTTAATGGTATCAAAATTTTGAGGGTTTGTAGATAAAATATTCCTTTTCAAAGGATGAAAATGCTATTTTTGTATTTTATCAAACCATATTTGGTTACCAAACTATATTGTCCTCCTCAAAAATGAATTACAAATTGCATCATTGTGTTCCCAAACTAATTTTCACTTTGGTTATTAACTACATATTTTCTCAGATTTTATTTACTATTGCTCCTAAGGGCTTGGATTTTTAAAAATTCAAATTTATTTATTTAACAAGTTGGAATTCATACAAAAATTATGTCAGGTTAAATTTAAAAACCCAACAACATAGTACCACGGAAAACCACATTTGTGATGCAAATAAGCAATAGTTTAAGCAATAACACTTAAATAAGCAGAAATTCTAACAGCTGCTTTTTTACATACTCATATGTTAAGACTATTATTTATTATCACAGAATTTCAAAAATATATTCATTTTTCTTTAAATATAATTCTTATTTTTATGATTGTTATAAATATATGTATAATCACTCATGGGTAATCACAAACTGATAAAATAGGACAGCTCTTAAAATTGAGCAGTTTGTTTTTTTAAAGTATAGGATTCCATACATATCAAATATTCAAAATCTTACTAAGTACCTTTTGTATTTAATATACTGAAAAAATAGTTTGCTAAGAACAATACCAACTTTATCTATGGAAGACCACATAATATTTGCATTTATAATGATTTTTTTTTCCTGTGGTTGAAGTTTATAGATCTTATATGACAGTTTTGTTAAGTGCTTAAGTATCGCCATCTTATGGTTAGCTTGAAAGTCAATTTTATTTTTAAATTCCAAAGAAATGACAAAGCATCTATATTCACGATGAACTTACTTTCAGTGTGTACATACTTCCTTTTATGTCATTTAGTACATCAGAAAATTAGCAAGATTAATATTTTCTTCCAGCAAAGGAAAGCAATTCACTGCTAATTAATTATTTGTATTTTTGTGTAGACATATTATTGATTTTTCTCTTAGGAAAATTATTTCAATTATGTTTTCTTAATTAAAGTCTGATTAACAAGTTTCCAGTTCCTTGTAGAAAAACTCATGGGTATATCACTTTGCCTATTTTAAGAGCTGTCAATTAATTTCCTTTGTAATGAGTGTTTGAGTTATAGGCAATATGCCAAATCACCATTCAATAAGTAAAATTTTATAAACTGAAAACTTGCAGGAATTTGTTTATTGTTCGGTTTCATAGGGAAAAGGCTACTGCAGGGCAGGAAATTCCTGATGGTGGCTGCTAGATGGCATCTCTGTGCTTTTAAACTGAAGGCATTGAGTTCAGTAATGACCTTGATAGTAGGAGAGTGGACTCCTTTTTTCTTTTACAAGATTTTTAGCAGGCTGTTATTTGAACATTGTAACTAAACAGTAATTCCTGAGAATCAGCCATGAATTTCTCTGCTTTGCAGAGCTGAACTATGAAAAAAGGAGGATGTAAACAGGGCTGTACAGCTTTCAATTAGAACACATACTCTGGAGTCAGACACATGGGGAACAGTTAAAAAAAGGTGGTGACATGGGTATATCCACATATCATAGTGACTGTGGGACTTTAAAATAGTCGTAATCGTGTGCTAAAAATATTGCAAAATGCCTTACCAGGGGAATTATGCTATACTGAGGAAGCATTCACTATCTTCTCACCTAGAAATATATTAAACTTCTCACCATGATACTCACACACTAAAGGCATAAAATATAACAATGATTCAGCAATAATGTCCAATACCAAGCTGCTTTTTCTATCCAAAACAACCTAGGCAATTATAACTCTTGCCTTAAATAAGAAAGTTGCTAAAAAATCATATAAATATGATGGGGACTAGGATAACATTAATAATTGTGTTGTTAAATGTTTTGTAATGCAATACACCATAATTGTCTGTATTTTTTGGTATTGCTTAAGACAATAATAAAATATTTAAGTTGCCTAGAGGTTGCTTTCATACATGAATCTTGTTAAAGTTCCTTCTCTCACAATTTTTAAATGAAATTGAAAAAAAAAACACAAAAAAATAGCAAGATACATACTGAGATGACTCTAATTTCTTTTGAAATCCACCTTAAAACTCTATTTTCCCCTGAGTCTTCTGTGTGCTTAAGCCATTCTCTACAGGATAGGATCAAACCAAATTAGAACAGAGAATATGGATCAGTGGCATTTAGCAAGACCTATAATTATGCACTGGTGGACCCTAATATGATAAAAACTGGAGAGATCAAGGTAGTCCTTCTATGTTTTGAAAAAGCAGAAAGCTTCCTACTCTCATTTTATCTCACCCTCATTAATCTAATTAAACTTTTATTTTGGAAAAAGTATATAGTTTTTCTCACTCTTTCTCCAGGCAGGTTGAAAAGGTTAAAATGGTGAAGCTTTCCTTCTTTTATCTTCTTATTCTCTGTATCTATGAAGTTGACTATTGTGTTGATTAGTGCGTTGCTGACACACCAGGTAACATGCAGGGTCTCTCATTTCTAATCCAAACTTTGCAAGTGATGACATATACATTTATATGACTTTGGGGAATCTGTGATCTCAGGGCTCCATCCATAAAATCAGCAGTCTGGATAATCTAAAAACTTCCTTATTAACCCTAGAATGACTCTGTTTAATAATTAATAATATTTGATCCATTAACCAGAAACAATGAGTTCTTTTGTGAGGTTTACTTAGTAAGATCATAGGTAAGAGACTTGTTGATGAACCTCCTAAATATCATGAGGTTTTATTTTTTTA